TTTGAAAGAAAAATTTAATTTTCTTTGAAACTGACGCACATCCGCGTCTGGCTCTTACTAGCCCGTTAAATGTAAAGTTGATGTTTCACATGGAGAGTTTTACTAATTTCTTAGTTGTTAACACATAAATGTTGATATCTTTTGGTTTACATTAGCATCGTGACTGCGGTTCTGACTGGGATCTGACGGCCGAAGACGAGGCTTCATTGTGGACACAAGTCTCCAATAATCATGCGCTCAACGCTCTATCTCTTGCCAGGCTAGTACATCATTTTCTAATAAAGAACTCATTGTTTTGTGATTGCTATTACACGATTTTCAACTCAGTTCAATTTGCGATCCGAGTTTATTCTTTTTGCGAAACGTTTCACGAAAACGCGTAGTTAGATATACCGTAACAATTAGTCGTAAAATATTGTTATCGCCAAAAATTATCAGTAGCAATGCGCTCAACGCTCTATCTCTTGCCAGGCTAGTACATTATACTCCATCATTTTCTAATAAAGAACTCATTGTTTTGTGATTGATGTTTCTCTCAATTCAACTCAGTTCAATTTGCGATCCGAGTTTATTCTTTTTGCGAAACGTTTCACGAAAACGCGTAGTTAGATATACCGTAACAATTAGTCGTAAAATATTGTTATCGCCAAAAATTATCAGTAGCAAACTACATTTATTCAGTGTGGTATATTTGAATTTTCTTTCAATCAAGTTTATCACAAACTTGTATTTCGTTTTTTCACAAACATATTTTATATAAGTGTAGTATTTTTCAGACGAGAATTGTAAGTAAGAACTTAATGTAAAACTACTGTAAAAATATTTTCAGAAACATGGGTTTGATTGCACTTTCATCTTTGTATATCTCTTTAAACAAATCGTATATCATAATGCAATTTATTGTTTCAAAAATCGTTCACATGTTTGAAAAAATGAATATCTCTGATAGGGTTGATGTATGCGTGTATATATATTTGTGTGCGCGTTCAAGCAATTTGAAATCTTACTGACAGATATAAACAGATAAAAATGCATCAAATATTTTGGTATCGGATTACAGATATCATTTATATTTATTGTCTTCATGGTGTAATTATAAACGTTGTTCATTACACAAGTGTGTCGTTCACATGAAAGAGCGAAAGCAGTCATGATTTTGTAGAGTAAAATTCACAAATGTTCGAGCGTGCTCGCACCTTCACACTGATTTCGTCGTAGTTAGCTAACTTATCTCGAGATTCGATAGTTGACCTAATACGACTATCATACAACCGTCTTTTGATCGGCTCTTTAGATCGGTTAAGGAAGAGGAGGGGAAGAAGAATAAGAAGGTTGCACCGATTGCCAGCATGATCGCTATAAGGCCACCAGCGGGCCAACCTACTTCAGAGCATGATAGACCGATACATGGTTTTTTGTAGGACGACACTAAAGCGGTATGCAGATCTTCTATTCTTTCATAAGATCAACTTTTATCGAGTGTTGTCAAAGCATTTTAAGAGAATGCAATTTTCTTTATATTTCCTTAAGAAGATTTGAGCGTTACTCTTGCTAATTTATCGAGTTCATTTTGTGTATGACAATTTTTTTTGCAACTATTACTTTTTAAGAACTTACTAAAACCGTCAATTTTCCTAAAAAAAAAAAAATATGAAACCTTATGTACAGATACAAATTTAATTCGAAATTTATATTTATGATGCGCTTACAATTAAATGTAGAACCAAGTAACGTCACTAGTGATTGGAAGGTACTTACAATATTTTTAGAAACTGCCTTTGTTTAGGAAGAAATAGGACTCAGCATGTTATAATATCATCAATTTATCAGACCGAAATTTGTCTATTAACGATTACAAATACAAAAACCAATTTAGATGATCCAATTCTGAAAATTTTCTAATAAAGCTATCTTGAACACACATATACACACAACATAATTAAATTCTTTTACTAGAAAAAACACAATGTTTAAAAAAAAAATAGTATCTTAATAGTATATTATTATTCTTACAATAATTTTAATTTTACGAGATTACTTAAATGGATAAAACATAAATATAATTTTATACAAAGGAAAATATGACATTTTTTATGATTCGGCACTATTACCTCAAAGTATAACAGAAAATTCAATCTGGGAAAAAAAATATCCTTCTAGAATGTTTATAATATTTTTGCTAACACTATATCTTGCAATTAAACTATTTATAAAAAATCAGAAAAAAACAAAGCAAAAAAAAATTAAAATTGTATTACTAAGTTTGTATGTTTGCACAAAAGTACGATAATTGTTAATTATATCGCATATATTACCAAAAATCGAGTACGGAGTTTGTTTATATTTCGATGTACTCGACAGCTAACGTCAGTATCAATAATTTCTAAAGCATGTTGTATTCTAATAATGAGAGAGAGTATGGTAAAGGAGGTACAGAAGTAATCATTTTGCATTATGATTAACAGGATTAGGTGGAACAGCAGCAGGTAGGTTGTTCCCTTGAGGGGTGGCAGGTGCCGAACCAGACTACCCTGCTTGCCTCTGTTTTTCTGAGACAACACTCATCGTCCTCACATCTTTGAATACTGTCCTGCTAATCGGCCGCTCTTTTTTCTCTCCATGTTGCACGATTATATACGATTATATAGTTGCACGGACTGGAATTTAAATGATCTTTGCAATGGCATAAGAGCGTTTCAGAAGAATAAGAAAAGCTTTAAATAACCACATATAATATTATTCGTTGGAATATATGACCATAGCAATACAGTCATATAGCAATAGTCGATATAGAAAAGTGTTATTATTATGCGCCCAAATATATAAAA